GAAACATTTCCCAACTCATTCTACAAGGCCACTATTATCTTCATACCTAAACCAGACAAAGACATCCTAAGAAAACTATGAACAGTATCCCTTGTGACTACAGATGCAAAAGTCCTCAACAAAATACTAGCAAACTGAACCCAGCAACATTTTAAAAATGATTATACTCTATAACCAAATTGGATTTAACCCAAGAATACAAGAGTGGTTCAATGTATGAAAATCAATATAATATACCATAGAAATAAAGGATAAAAACCACATGATCACCTCAGTAGACACAGAAAAAGCATTTGAAAATTCCAATACCTTTTCATGATAAAAAACACTCAACAAACTAAGAATAGAAGGGAACTTCCTTAACCTGATAAAGGGCATCCATGAAAAGCCCACAGCTACCATCACACTCAATAATATAAAACTGAAAGATTTCCCTGAGATCAGCAACAAGAGAAGGATGTTTACTCTCACCAATTCTATTCTACTGAAGGTTCCAACTGGGGTAATTAGGTAAGAAAAATAACAAAAGGCATCTAGACTGAAATAGAAATAAAGTGTCTATTCACAGATGACATAATCTTGTTTATAAGGAATCCACAAAGAAGAAACTACTAGCACTAATAAACAAGTACAGGAAGGTAGCAAGATATGAGATCAATATACAAAAGTCTATTGCATTTCTATACACTAGCAATGAACACTGAGAACATTAAATTAAGAAAACAATCCCATTTACCATCACACCAAAAAGAATAAAATACTCAGGAATAAATTAATAAAAGTAGTGTAAGACTTGTACTCTGAAAAGTACAAAATACTGTTGAAAGAAATGAAAGAGGACCTAAGTAAATGGAAAGATATTCCACGTTCATTAATGGAAGACATATTAAGATAGCAATACTTTTCAAATTCATATATAGAGTCAACAAAATCACTACCAGAACCCCAGCTTCCATTCTTGCAGAAATTGACAAGCTAATCTTGTCATATGGAAACTCAAGGAACCCAGAATATCAAAACTAATCCTAAAAAAAAAAAAAAAGGTTAGAGGACTCACACTTCCCAATTTTAAAGCTTACTACAAAGCTATTCTAATCAGGACAGTGTGGTACTGACATAAGGAGAGACACCTAGATCAAGGGAATACAACTGTGAGTCCAAAAAGAAACCATCACATTTATGGTCAACTGATTTTCAATAAGGGTGCTATTGAAAATGGGGAAAGATGAAGCTGGACTCCTACTTGACACCATATACAAAAACTAACTAAAAATGGATCAAAAATCTAAATTTAAAAGCTAAAGCTATAAAACTTTGAAAAGAAAACACAGGTATAAATCTTTGTGACTCTGGATTAAGCAATGACTTCTTAGATATAAAACTAAAAGCGCAAGCTACAAAAAAAATTAAGTATTAGGCATCAAAATTTAAAATTTTGTGCATCAAAGGATACCATCAAAAAAGTGCAAAGACAACCAGAATGGGAGAAAAATTTTGTGAATCATATATCTAATAAGGGACTTGTTTCCAGAATATTTAAAGTAATATTAGAACTCAGTAGTAAAAAGACAACCCAATTTTTAAAAGGTCAAAGGATCTGAACAGACATTTCTCCAAAGAAGATATACAAATGGCCAGTAAGCACAAGAAAAGATATGCAACATCATTAGCCATCAGGGAAATGAAAATCAAACCCACAGTGAGATACCACTTCACACACACTCACTAGAATGGCTAGAATGAAAAAGACAATAACAAGTGTTGACAGAGGATGTGGGAAATGGGCATCCTTATTTCAGTACTGGTGGGAATGTAAAATGATGTAGCAGCTTTGGAAAACAGTTTGGCAGTCCCCAAACAGTTAAACATGGAGTTACCGTATGATCCAGCAATTCTACTCTTATTTACTAAAGAGAAATGAAAATATGTCTATACAAAAACTTGTAGCAGTATTCATAATTGCTCAAAAGTGTAGACAACCTAATTGTCCACCAACTCATGAATGGACAAGTATGATATATTCATATAATGGAATATTATTCACCAATAAAAAGGAATGAAATACTGATACAGGATACAACATGGATGAATCTTAGTAACCTTATGGTAAGTGAAAGCCAGTCACAAAGGACCACATATTGTATGATTCCACTTATATGAAATATCCAGAATAGGCAAACCTATAGACAGAAAGTAGATGAGTGGTTTCTTGGGGCTGGCATGGATCAGAAGTTTAGGGAAGCAATAGCTAAGGGATGCAAAGTTTCTTTTAGGGGTAATAAAAATTCTTGAAAATTGTGGTGATAGGTGTGCAACTCTGTGAATATACTAAAAGCCACTGAAATGCATTATTTTAAGTGGTGAATTGTACAATGTCAATTATATCTCAACAAAAAATGTACACTTTAAAAGGGTGAATTTTTTAGTATGTGGATTATATCTCAATTTTCTAAAATGTCATCATTAGCTAACTATTGGTTTACACCACTGATTTAACAGGATTAAAATGATTATGAGGTAGTGTCCATATATACTTGGTAATTCATGCTACTTTTAAACTAGGATTTCCAAATCTATGTTTTTATATAAGGTAAAAATAAGGTTATTTACAGAAGTGGGAGCCATGATAATCTGTTCCAGGTATGTCTACCCAAGAAAGAAATTACTCTTATTTCTTCCACTTATTCTTATTACTGTCACTTAGCATGTATTGACAGCTGCTTTTGATCTTTCATTATTTCCTTTTCTCTGATATTTCTACAAAACAGTCATTTAGCAAGTTTACAATTTTTAACCAATTAAAAAAATTTTTACCTCCTAGAGAAATGGAAATAAAAACAAAAATAAACAAATGGGACCTAATGAAACTTAAAAGCTTTTGCACAGCAAAGGAAACCATAAACAAGACCAACAGACAACCCTCAGAATGGGAGAAAATATTTGCAAATGAAGCAACTGACAAAGGATTAATCTCCAAACTTTACAAGCAGCTCATGCAGCTCAATAACAAAAAGACATAACCCAGTCCAAAAATGGGCAGAAGACCTGAGCAGACATTTCTCCAAAGAAGATATACAGATTGCCAACAAACACATGAAAGAATGCTCAACATCATTTATCATTAGAGAAATGCAAATCAAAACTACAATGAGGTATCACCTCACACTGGTCAGAATGGCCATCATCAAAAAATCTACAAACATGGGGCTTCCCTGGTGGCGCAGTGGTTGAGAGCCCGCCTACCGATGCAGGGGATGTGGGTTCGTGCCCCGTCCGGGAGGATCCCACATGCCGCGGAGCAGCTGCGCCTGTGAGCCATGGCCGCTGAGCCTGCGCGTCCGGAGCCTGTTGCTCCACAATGGGAGAGGCCACAACAGTGAGAGGCCCACGTACAACAAAACAAAACAAAAACAAAAACAAACAAACAAAATCTACAAACAATAAATGCTGGAGAGGGTGCGGAGAAAAGGGAACACTCTTGCACTGCTGGTGGGAATGTGAATTAGTACAGCCACTATGGAGAACAGTATGGAGGTTCCTTAAAAAACTACAAATAGAACTACCATATGACCCAGCAATCCCACTACTGGGCATATACCCTGAGAAAACCATAATTCAGAAAGAGTCATGTACCAAAATGTTCATTGCAGCTCTATTTACAATAGCCCGGAGATGGAAGCAACCTAAATGTCCATCATCGGATGAATGGGTAAAGATGTGGCACATATATAAAATGGAATATTACTCAGCCATAAAAAGAAACGAAATTTGAGTTATTTGTAGTGAGGTGGATGGACCTAGAGTCTGTCATACAGAGTGAAGTCAGAAAGAGAAAGACAAATACCGTATGCTAACACATATATATGGAATCTAAGGAAAAAAAAAGTCATGAAGAACCTAGGGGTAAGACAGGAATAAAGACACAGACCTACTAGAGAATGGACTTGAGGATATGGGGAGGGGGAAGGGTAAGCTGTGACAAAGTGAGAGAGTGGCATGGACATATATACACTACCAAACGTAAAACAGATAGCTAGTGGGAAGCAGCCGCATAGCACAGGGAGATCAGCTCAGTTCTTTGTGGCCACCTAGAGGGGTGGGATAGGGAGGGTGGGAGGGAGGGAGATGCAAGAGGGAAGAGATATGGGAACATATGTATAACTGATTCACTTTGTTAGAAAGCAGAAACTAACACACCATTGTAAAGTAATTATACTCCAATAAAGAGTCAAAAAAAATTTTTTTTTCATGCACAGGAAGATGTGTTTTTGAACCCTTGCAAGGAGAGACACAATTTACTTGAGGGGGTAAGAAAAATAAACCAAGTTAAAATAACCTGCTAAGAGTGTAAAGCGACTTTTAATTTTTGCTTGTAGAATTTTATTCTACTACAATTTATAAAACAACTATGAGTCACAACCAGCAACAATGTAGAACTGGCCCTTGTTCAAGATATGGAATAAAAATATGCCCCACTGGGAATTAAGAATCTCTACATAAGTCACCTAAGATACTCCATATCATTAAAACTCAGAGCACCCTAGCCTCTTTTGTTAAGCACAGATTAACTATTAAACATTGCTGCTCTCTTCTCCACAATTTTTCTTTTGGCTACACCGCAGGGCATGCGGAACTTCCCTGACCAGGGATAGAACCCGTGCCCCCTGCAGTGGAAGCACGGAGTCTTAACCGCTGGACCACCAGGGAAGTCCTCTTCTCCACAATTTTAAAATCACAAATAAATCAAAGCGGATTTTATGACGTGCATCCTTTACAGGCTCCAAAACCAGCAATACAATCTCAGGTAGCCACTTCAACCCCCTTTAGCAAAATTATTTAAGTCCACAAGACAGGAGACTGCTGCTTTAGTTGATTCTGTAAAATCCCCAAAACAGAAAAGTCTCAGTGGGGCATCAAACAGTAAGAAAAGTAGCAATATGCACCCAAAGTAAACAAATATACCAATGAATCCAGAGAGATAGAAGTGGCATTATTATTACCTTTGAAGATGGCTCTCAGGAGTGCTCCAGCAGCTTTTCCTTTCACTGCCTGATTCTGAAGGAGATTAGCCAGCTGCAAAGAAAAGAAAAAGCTACAAGTCCCTGGCAACAATTTCCCTACCTGAATGACCTAAACTCCCGGTATGAAAAACACACATCTGTCAAGTTCATATCCTTCAGAGACTCCAGGTATCACAAATAACATTTATTTACATATAGCAGGGTAGATCTTAACATGATGCTGGGTTGTCAAGACTGAAATTTATTCATACATTCATTCTACAAATGTCTATTAAGTATTTAATCAGCACTAGGTATCAAGCTATGTTCTTGGGGATATACATTCATTCAGCAAATTCTCTTTGAACATGTTCTTCCTAGGCGTTAGGGATACAAGGATGAACATGATAATCTGACTCAGTTTACAGTAGAGCAGGAGGGAAAAGGACGACAAGAAAAAAAAATCAGAAAAAAAATTTGTAACAGAAACAAAAGACTGAGACAATAATTGAGGAAAGGGAAGCAACTTCAGCTAGGGTAGTCAGGGAGAAAGCTTCTCTGAGGTAGGTGACATTTCTTTAGAGACTTGGAGGATGAGAAAGAGCTAGTTATGCAAAGGGAGGAAAGAAGAACACTTCAGATAAAGGTATTGTTATGTGCAAAGGCCCTGAGAGAGCAAAGAGTTTGGCATATTGGATGGCCTGAAAAAAAAAAAAAGACCAATTTGACTGAAGAGTAGTAAGAAAAGAGTGGCACAAGATGAATTTGGAGAGATGGGCAAGAACCAGATAATAAGAATCTTGTAGGCCATGATAGGAAGCTTAGATTTTCTCTAAATGCAATAGAAGTAACTAACGAGAAAAGAGGAGAGTGATATATAGATTTTTTTTTTTTTAAATCAGTCTTATTCCTTTTGTAGAAAATAGGTTGTGGGAGGGTTTAAGAGTGAAATAGGGACATCTGTTAGGAGATTGTTATCAGTGATCAAATGAGAGATGATAGTGGCCTACAGCAAGGTAATAGCAGGGGCGATGTCCTGAGTTGAACTGTGTTCCCCTCCAAAATTCATGTTTAAGCTCTAACCCCCAGCATCTCAGAATGTGATCTTATTTGGAAATACGGTCATTGTAGGTGTAATTAGTTAAGCTGAGGTCATATGGGTAGGCCCTAATCCAGTATGACTAATGTCCTTAGAAAAAGGGGAAATTTGGACAGAAACACATACACAGCGAGAATGCCGTGTGAAAGTGAAGGCAGAGACCATGGGTGACACAAGGCAAGGAATGCTAAAGATTGTCAGCAAACCACCAGAAGCTAGGCTAGACGCACGGAACAGATGATCACAGCCCTCAGCAGGAACCAACAATGCCAACACCGTGATCCTGGACTTCTAGTTCCTACAACTTTAAAAATAACTGTCTATTGTTTAAGGTACTCAGTTTGTAGTACTTTGTAAGATGAAGAAAAGTACAGATGGCCCCGAACTTATAACAGTTCAACTTATAATTTTTCAACTTTACAATGGGGCAAAAGTGACAGGCATTCAGTAGATACTGTATTTCGAATTTTTATCTTTTCCTGGGCTAGCAATCAGCTGCGGGATCACAAGGATAAACAACCGATACACCATTCTGTACCCACGCAACCATTCTGTTTTTCACTTTCAGTACAGTATTCAATAAATTACATGAGATGTTCAACACTTTATTGTAAAATGGGCTTTGTGTTAGATGATTTTGCCCAACTGTAGGCTAATGTAAGCATTCTTGGCACGTTTAAGGTAAGGCTAGGCTAAGCTAGGATGTTTGGTAGGTTAGGTGTATTAAATGCATTTCCGACTTAGAATATTTTCAACTTAAAATGGGTTTATTGGGATGTAACCCCATCAAAATTTGGGGAAGATCCGTAGACTGAAGGTATATTTGAAAGCTTGATCAGTAGGACTTCGCTATGGTCTGAATGTTTATGTCCCCCCAAAATTCACGTGTTAGAATCCTAATACCCAATGTTATGGTATTTGGAGGTGGGGCCTTTGGGAGGTGATTAGGTATGAGGGTGGAACTTCCATGAATGGGATTAGTGCTCTTATAAGAGATCCCACAGAGCCCCCAGGCTGCTTCTACCATATGAGGGTATAATGCGAAGTCTGCAACCCAGAAGAGGGCCCTCACTCGACCACACTGGCACCATCATCTAGGACTTCCAGTCTCCAGAACTATGAGAAATAAATGTTTGTTGTTAGAAGTCACCCAGTCTACCGTATTTTGTTATAGCAGCCTGAATGGACTAAGACAGACTTCCTCAGGCTTTAGGCGTGAAATGGGTGTGATGATGAAGGAAAAGAAGAAATCAAGGAGGACTCAAATTTCTGGCTTAAGCAACTAGCTGGGTAGATGGTGGCACCATTTACAGATATGGTGAAAATTTCGGATTAAGCAAGCATCTAAATCATCCAGAGGGCTTGTTAAAACAGAGAACTCCACCTGCAGTTTTTGATTCAGCAGATCTGATGTGGCGCTCAGAACTGTTACTCTTAAGATATCCAAGTGGAGATGGCAAATCGATAACTGAATATGCCAAAGTGGAGCTCAGTGAGAAAATGTAAGATCATCCAGGGAGAAAATGTAAAGAAAAAAGAGACACCAATAGAGAGGGACAGGTGGAAACTCTATTATTTTTACAACTTTTCTGTAAGTCTAAAATCAATTCAAAATAAAGAGTTAAAAAATTCTTCCTGGATTTAGCATCCACTGATGCTTCCTGCCTGATCCAATCTTTATCATGATGGTTGCCAAATGATGATTTTCTAACTCTGTGGTAAGCAAGAGCCCTCCTCATCATTTATTATCAATACAGACTCACAAATTTCTATATTTTTCAGTGGTTTATAATTCATAACTGAACTTATTTCAATGTTCAGATTTGACCAACGGAAGCCCCTTCAAGCTGTCTTTATCAGGTTTGGGATATCAATGTTATACTTTATAAAAAGCACTTGGAAGTTTTCCTTATATATGCACATTTTTTCTTATGTAGTATATATACTCTAAAACAATTTATGTGGCAACGGGACTATCTCTTACCTCTGATCTCTAAAGATTTGGTAGACGTTTCCTATGAAACTCTGGGCCTGGTATTTTTGTGTCAAGTAATTGCTTGATAACTTTTTTCTTTTATAGAAATTGATCTGGTTAAGCTTTCCATCTCAAATTGGGTCAGTTTAATTAAACTGTATGTTCCTAAGAAATTATCCATTGCATAATGGTAGATTTGTAGTAGATATATAGAGTAGATATTTGTAGTAGATATATAGTCTCTTAGTATTTTTTGAGATTTTTCTCTATATGAATAGTTATTTCCCCCATGTCATTTCTTATTTAGTATATCTGTGCTTACTCCATTGTTTTCTTGATTAGTTAATAGTTTTGTCTATTTTTCAAAGAACCAGGATTTTTATGTATTAATTTGATCTACTGTTCTCCACTTTATTAACTTCTACTTTTATTCTAGCAGTCCCTTTTAGATTCCTCTATTCTCTCTAAACCTTTGAATGTAAATTTTCCCACTGCTGGATAGGTCAGTCTTCCTTGTCATGGACTTATGTGTTTTATAATTTTGTACTCTTAAGCACATCTTCTATGGACATTTTTATCAAATGGACTGAATGCATATATTGCTGGAATGCTTATCAAATTTATAGAGGATATAAAATGATGATTAATACAATGGTCAACAGAATCAGGATACAACAAGAAGATCTTGATGGAGTGAAATCAAATTAATCTAAAAAGATAAGTAACAGATTTAAAATAAAAATTTTAATGTGGGTTCTAAGAACTAACTATTGAAGTTTGGAGATGAAGGAAATTTAGCCTATATGCAAAAATGACTTGGGGTTTTTAGTTGCTTGTAAGAGCAATGAGACAGTAATATGATATTGCTGCCAAAAAGTTGACTCTGCATTAATGGAAGAATTAGGGAAATATTAGTGCCCCTCTACTCTAGTGGTAGAACATGTGGAGCCCTGTGTTCGAGGTACAAAACTTTTAAAGGTAATGTTAACAAAACAGAAATGTTCAGAGGGCTGTGTTCATGTTGGCGAAGAAACTTAAAATAGGAAGAGCTGAAGGACCTTTTCTAATATTTATTCAGCGTCTACTGGATGCCTATTGAGGGTCTATTAGATGCATACAGTATCTCATTTCATCCTCACAAAAACCAGGATAGGAATTCTTTTTGTGATAAGCATGAATCAGAGAAGTAATTCATAGCATCTATCATGGGTTTTGTTCTAGTTCTTATTTTTTACTTATTTTATAGTGTAATGTTAAAGCCGCCTCAAATTCCTTTTGGAAGCAGGTAAGATAAAAATTCTAAGTAAATAAATAAATAGAAAGCAGGTTTCAACCAAATTTTAACTTGTCTATAGGATGATTCAACTCTCAACTCATGCAAAGGCTGTCTTAAAAAGTGCCACAAAAAGCAATTTCTGGATAATTTCAAAGAAAAAAAAATGAGAGCGCATCCCTGTATCAATTCCCAGTTAGCATAAGGTAACAAAGATTAAGATGCACCTAGCTTCAATGACCACAAAAACTAGCACATAAAAAGTTCCTTAAAAACATAACACTCGGGGCTTCCCTGGTGGCGCAGTGGTTAAGAATCCGCCTGCCAATGCAGGGGACATGGGTTTGATCCCTGGTCCGGGAAGATCCCACATGCTGTGGAGCAACTAAGTCCATGCGCCACAACTACTGAGCCTGTGCTCTAGAGCCTGTGAGCCACAGCTACAGATCCCGCACGCCTAAAGCCCGTGCTCCGCAACAAGAGAATCCACCGCAATGAGAAGACCGTGCACCGCAACAAAGAGTAGCCCCCCAGGGCTTCCCTGGTGGCGCAGTGGTTGAGAGTCCGCCTGCTGACGCAGGGGACACAGGTTCGTGCCCCGGTCCGGGAAGATCCCACGTGCCGCGGAGCAGCTAGGCCCGTGAGCCATGGCCGCTGGGCCTGTGCTCCGCAACGGGAGAGGCCACAACGGTGAGAGGCCCGTGTACCGCAAAAACAAAACAAAACAAAAAAGAATAGCCCCTGCTCACCGCAGCTAGAGAAAGCCCACGTGCAGCAACGAAGACCCAATGCAGCCAAAAATAAATAGATATAACATTAAAGAAATTAAAAAAATAATAATACTCAAAGTCTTAATTTGTCTATACATATATACTAATGTTTAAGGTTAATTTTAAGGAGGGATTATTTTCCATGTAGGGATCTGAATAAGCTGAGATCATTTATAATGGAATAAGGAGAAGTATATCAGGAGAGAAAGATTAGAAAGCCTAACACAGAAGGTAATTATTGTCCCATTTTATAATCATATACTTATAGTGAAGACACAATGTAAATTGGTTGGTTTTCACTTTTACTAATAATTTCAAAATACCTTACTACTTATGAACTTATCTTCTTTAGGGAAAAACATAAATGAAGCATCAACAGGCAAATCTAATGTCTCACATCAATAACTACAGTCTGGATATTGCTTTCAAATAGGATTGTTCTAAGAACTAAAAAGTGTACTAATTTGCTTATACGGTTGCATAAATGTCATTTAAATATTATACAGTTGTAGGGGTTTCCCTGGTGGTCCAGCAGTTAAGACTTCACGCTTCCACTTCAGGGGATATCGGTTTGATCCCTGGTCAGGGAACTAAGATCCCGCATGCTGCATGTTGCAGCAATCAATCAATAAACAAACAAACAAACAAATAAATACAGTTGTATAAATGTACATAAATGCCCTTAAGTTGTGCATATCTCTTCCTCTCTCCCATTTCTTTGTATCTATGAGTTGTTATCAAATAAATCCTTGTCTCCTAAGGAGAGTGGGGGATAGATGAAGTGGCAGAATTAATTTTTCTAACATGTCCCTTGAATTTGTTATCATGCTTGACATTTGCTTTTGGCAGAACATCCTTCCTAATACTCACATCATCTTCTTTCAGGGTTTGAAGAAATTTTTGCAGTCTGTCTGCTGTTTTTTCTGCTGCTAGAGATAAAATTTTCTGGTCCATTGTTGCACATATCAAGAAACTGGAAAGGGAAAATGTCAGAGCTGGATGAAACTTCCAGAAGGAAACAAGTTTGATTTTTTTCCCCTTCTCTACCTGTTAACTGAGTATTTCATACATATTATAGACTACGTACACAGTGGGTACTCAACAGGCTACGGATTACCAACTAGTATGAGTAGGTGATTCTTACCCAAACCAAAATAATCTTGAGAATTCCCTGGAATTTCCTTATTAGAAAGTTGTAGTCTAATCAAGTGGTTTCCTAATTCCAAGTCACATTTTTATCATTTTTTTTAAGCATCTACCCAGTATGCTGCCCAGAACAAAGCTATCATTTAACAGTATAGCAAATATATAATAAATTATTATTGACACATACACAAGAATATTATAACATATAATAAAGTAACACTAGATAAATGAATAAATCAACAGCACTGTAAATGCATTTATACCAATTAAATGGTGTAAAAACAAATGAGAAGTTAACAAGGCTAAGAAATAAATGTGTGCTCAAACATCAAGAAGCCTTCCCAGCAGAGGAAAGCTTAAACTGGAACTTAAGGATTAAATTTAGACAGTCAAGATAACCACATGGTATACATTATTGGGAAGGAGAGTATCAGGAACAAAGGCATTCATAAGAGAATCTGAAAAATTTATTTGGGGAAAATGAGTAGTAGAGGGTTCAAGTAGGGGAGTAGTGAGTAGGAAAGCTGGAAAGAAAGGGTGGGACTAAACTGTGCAAGCTCTTAAAAGCCAGGTTAAGGAATTCAGATTTTATTCTGTAAATAATAGATGGCAACAAAAATTTCTGTAGTAAAAGATAATCTGACAAGATTGAAACAGTGTTTGAGGAAACTGAATCTGGCATCAATGTGCAGATTAAAGCAGGGAGGGAGTAAGGAGGAAGAACAGAGGCTAAGAGGCTACTGGGGGCTATTTTAGTGGTAGTGACAAAGGCCTGTCTTAGGGTGGTGACTCTGGGGAGTAGAAAGGAAAGGGTGAAATGGAAGCACATTAGACAGACAGGAGTTAGTGTGTAGCTATGGGAGTATTATGGGAAGGGGGAAATGCACACTGATGGAAAGAAGACCTGCTCCTCCTCCTGCATTTCTTCGTGTTTCCAATCTCCATAAATTGTACCATCATCCACTCAGCCGCTGAAACCAAAAACCTGGACAACATTCTTAACCACTTCACCTTCATCCTCCACATCCACTACCAAGTCCTGATGATGTTACCCCCCTAAAACATCTCTCAAGTCTACTTCTCTCTGAGATCCACTACCTCCACATTACTCCAAAGCCACCATCATCTCTCACCTGAACTACTGCATAGTTTCCTAACTTGTCCCCCACACAGCAGCTAAAATAATGTTTTTGAAACACAAACCAGATTATGTGACTTATCCTCCCTCAATCTCCATCCTCAACTTAAAACTCTTCAGTGGCTTTCCATTACTCTCGTATCAGTCCAAAATCCTGAATTCAGGATAAAAAGGTCTGGTCCATGCTAACTCCCCTTCCTCACTCTATTCTCCAGGCACACTGAATTGCTTTCAGTCCTTCAAACCCCCAAGTTCCTCTCGCCACAGACCCTTACACATGATTTTCTGTCTGGAACTTATACAAACACCCCTCCTTTCATCTGCTGCTTGCCAATCTTTTATTGTTAATTCCTACAAATTCTTCAGATCTCAGCTCAATCCACACTTCCTTAGAAGCTCAGTCTAGATTAAACACTCCCCTATTACATTCTTTCAAGGCAACTGTAATCTCTCTCACCATCACACTTTTAACATTACATTTGTAATTATTAGCTTAAGAACTACACCTCCCACTCCACTTCAAACTCCAGGAGTGCAGGGAAACCTGTCTGGTTTTGTTTAACACTGAACCTCCAGTACTTAGCACAGTATCTAGCTCATAAAAAGTGCCCAATAAATATTTGCTGAACAAATGAATGACTGAATCCCTACAATGGGCAAGACCCTGGGCCCAGCACTTTACACTCATTAATTTGATCCTCACACCAACCTTATGAGGTCTGTGTTATTACTCCCAATTTTGATAAAGATCTTTTGGGATTCAGAGAGATTAAGGAATTTCCCCAAATCCCCAAAGTTAGAAGGCTAGTAAGGGTAGAAGCAGAACTGAAATCCGAGTCTGTCCAGCTCCGGACCCCAAATCCCATGCTTTTACCCGCTACCCTCTGTTAGGGGCTGGGTGTTAGTAGAGAATGCAAACAAGGTATACCGACTAAAAGAGACGTCCAGCCCTAAGGGGAAGATGCTGAACTCTATTTCAGCAGGTACATTTGCTAAATTCTTCCTAAAACCAGAGATGAGTAACAGATAGGTGGCTGCAGATTCTTTGTCAAGAGGCCGTGAGGTTAGTGACGCACCACAGAAGTGAAACGCCGCGGGTCTTGCGCCGGGGCTCCACAGAGAGCAAGAAGTAAACACAAATAGGGAAACTATAAAATGAGGCAGCTGGTGATGTGCGCTGTGACCGAGCTAAAAAGGTGAAACAGGTTTAGAGAAATTTCTCAGGCGTAGGAGCTAAGCGCTGATGGAGAGGAAGAATTTAACAAGAGGGCCGAGAGTGTAGTACGCCCGGGGAGCAGGGAGGGCCAACCAACGCGGAGGGAGACGGCAGGGCACATCGACCCTTCCAAACCAAGGAAAACGCCAGAACGTCACAATGGAAGTGGTGTCCTCCTGTCCTCCCACACCCGCTACCTCCCCGGGGCTGAGTCCCACCGCCCCTGCAACGCGCGAAGGCCCTCCGGACAGTCACCTCAGCCTCACCTCCTCCAAAAGCTTCCAAAAAGTCCGCTCAACCCAACGCCGCCGAACTTCCGTTACCGGGAGCAGCAGCTCCCGCCTCCCGCGGCTCACTTCCGCCGCCCGGGAGCATGCGCATGGGGCGTACCATTAAGGCAGAAGGGAGGGGGAAACTCCTGGGACGATCCCACTCACTGTGGGGGGGGGCAGCCTTAGATCTCCAATTCGGGACCGCAGAGTGAGCCAGGGCAGTGTGGCCTGGGTGTGGCCACCACGGTGCCTTGACCAGTTAAGGCCTTCTTGTGTACTGTTGGGAAAAGGGTCAGTGAGAAAGGGGATGAATCTAGTAATAGCTGTAGAGGTCTTTGCACTGGAAGTGCCTGGAAGGCGCAGGAAGGTGTTCTACTCCTTGTGCCAGTGGAGGTGTAACTCCTGTAAAGGAAAAAAGGGTTGCCTGCCATTCCATTTCTATAGGGATCAAGGCTGTAGCAACTGCAGTCGTTGGCCTCAGTGTGCCTGAGGGGAGCTCAGGATGGAGAAAAACAGGAAACATTTTGTGCTTTGGATGTAAGGATCCTTGGATAGTTAAGATGCATATCTAAGGAAAAGTTTCAATGAACCCAGATTCTTGCATCTTCCCATACATAGGAAAGCACTTAAGTCATTAACTTGAAATATCTGTCTTTTTGTGATCAGTAATCTTGATCTTTGATTACATGGATCTCCCCCCCCCCCCCCGCCCAAAAAAAACCCCCGAAAACTCATATATATCCTGGCTCCTCCCTTAACTCGTCAGAGCAGGTCCTCAAAGCTATCTCAGAGGCTGTCTCCTGGGCTATAGTCCTCAGTAAGGTACCTGGATAAAACTTAACTCACAACTTTTAGGTTACGCACTTTTCTTTCAGTCGACAGCCCTAAAATGTAAGCCTCTTATGGCCGGGGGCTTATTGCATACAAAATCTCAGCATTTAGCACAAAGCCTGGCAAAGCAGTAAATGCTCAGTAAACATTTGTTAAATGAACAACTGATAGTAGAGCAAAGAGAAATGGAGGAGAGGTTCGAGAACCTGTACTACGTTGAATGGGCAGCTTGTGCAAAGGGCCTGACAGCAACAAGCAATCCAGCGTCTGACTGGTTCGGGAGGTGCAGGTGCTTCGGGTGGGGGTGGGAAAGCAGGGGCTTGTTAATCTTTTTCACATCAGGAGCAAGTGGGGGAACAGCTGAAGTGGAAGGGCGTGATTGTATTCACTTTGTAGAACAATATTTCTGGCAGGTGAGTGCTGCAGAGGTTATTTAAAAGAGATGGTGGGGATTTCCCTGGTGGTGCAGTGGTTAAGAATCTGCCTGATAATGCAGGGGACACGGGTTCGATCCCTGGTGCAGGAAGATCCCACATGCTGCGGGGCAACTCAGCTCATGCACCACAGCTACTGAGCCTGCGCTCTAGAGCCTGCAATCCACAACTACTGAAGCCCGTGTGCCCTAGAGCCCCGTGCCACAACTATTGAGCCCGTGTGCTGCAACTACTGAAGCCCACGCACCTAGAGCCTATGCTCCACAATAAGAGAAGCCCCCACAACAAAGAGTAGCCCCCGCTCGCTGCAACTAGAGTAGCCCCCACTCGCTGCAACTAGAGAAAGCCCATGCACAGCAATGAAGACCCAATGCAGCCAAAAAAAAAAAAAAAAAAAAAGAGATGATGGAGGTGAGGAAAGTTGAAGGCAAGACCCCTTAGGAGTCTCTAAGTTGTCCTGGACATAGGTGGTCGTGGCCCAACCTTGGGGAGAGATGGGAGGGGTTTGAGGAATATTCAGGTTTGAGTGACTGGGTGCACCCTGGTGATACTGCCAGTTGACTGACACACAGGGAAGGATGAAAGTTTGAGTTGATGATGAAGCCTTCAGATTTGGACTTGCCAAATGTGAGACCATGGGATGGCATGTGAAGGAATGCTAAGATCAGGGGGCATTCAGTCTGGAGCCTGTCTCCCAGTTCCCAGGGGTAGGATGGATCTATTTGGCCAGTTCTGGAAGAAACATAACTGCTGGAAGAGAATGATGCCTCTCAGGTGCCTAGGTCTGCTACTTGTTTATGACGCTTCTTTTTTTTTTAAATAAATTTATTTATTTATTTATTTATTTTGGGTTGTGCTGGGTCTTCGTTGCTGCACACAGGCCCCTCCAGCTGCGGCAAGTGGAGGCCACTCCCCGCTGCAGCGTGCAGGCCTCTCACTGCGGTGGCCTACCCCGTTGCAGAGCACGGACTCTAGGCAGGCGGGCCTCAGCAGCTGTGGCATGCAGGCTCAGTAGTTGTGGCTCACAGGCTCTAGAGCACAGTCTCAGTAGTTGTGGCACACGGGCCCAGCTGCTCCACGGCATGAGGGATCCTCCCAGACCAGGGCTCGAACCCGCGTTCCCTGCACTGGCAGGCAGACTCCCAACCACTGTGCCACCAGGGAAGCCTATGACACTACTTAAGTACTTTTTACTTCTACCACGTTTCTGGCCCAATATTAAGCTGTGATATTTGGCTAAAACACAGCAGTGGGGCTGGAAGATTATTCCTGAGAGGAATCCTTTAGCTTGCCAAGGAATCAGATGACTTTACCTCATCTTCTCCCCACAAAACCACCCTTCCAGGCTGCTTCTGGGACTGAGCCAGGCAGCCATGAATTTGTGTAGCTCAAAAGGGCTCATTTGCCTTTTTGAACTTCCATTTTTGCATCCCAGGTGCACTTATTGCATTGCCTGTGTGAGCATCTACACACTGGCATTGACAATTGTGGCAGGGGGTCTTGCCTCCCCTTGTTGCATGAATGTATCATCTGTATTTTCCATTAGTGCTAATGGGTGTTACATATGCAAAGGAAGAGAACAGACTTAGATTCATAACAATGTTTTTCACCCTGGTGCAGGCTTCCTTACTAAGCAGCAAATCTTACCAATCTGCTTCAACCAACTAGACGCCATACACTGGTCAGCTAGTGATACACTGATTCTAGAAAACACAGCCAGTTAAAAACAGGTTTACAACACTGGAATCAAATGTTCTTCAGACCTTGTCAGTAGCTCATGTTTGGATAATAATATTATAGCTACTGGTATTTGCAGGAGTCCAGAGAAAAGTACAAATGGAGGCCCCCTATCATTCCCCACTCCATCCTGCAGTGTGAGGGGCTTCATATGCCTGCATGTGGACACCCAGCCTGAAAATCCACACCATGTCTCTCCTCTAAAGCTGCCCTCGGCTACCCTTGACTATGCTGTGCACACTAGCAGGTCCACTCTGGGGAGGGTGGACTTAGGAAGGAGCCTGTATAGGCCGAGGAACTGAGCTTGGGGATGTTTGGGAAGGTACCCCAAGCATGGTCTAAAGGAGGGCACGTGGGCTTCAGTGCGTTCACACTCCAAGTTTCTTGGACTCCTCATCATCTAGGAAGGGAGCTGTTGAGGCACCCACCCAGTCCAAGCACTCCAGTTGCCTGGGTTTAAGGGCGGCATTGCTTGAGAGAATAATCAAGGTAGCATGTATAAGGAGCCTAGTGTTTAGGAGCACTTAATAGTGTAGGTCTGGTGATCCGTGTTGATGTTACTATTGCAAAAAGATTACAAGTCACTGAAGTTTCAGATGTTTAGTATTTTTTACCAATAAAGTATTTTTTGAATTAAAAAAAAATAGTTTCAGCTCCCTCCGGCAATCCCACTTCAGAGTGTGTATACAAAAGAATTGAAATCAGGTTCTTAATCAGATATCTGTACACCCATATTCAAGGAAGCATTATTCATAATAGTGAAAAGGTGGAGACAACCCAAACATCCATGGGCAGACGAACGGATAAACAGAATGTGGTGTATCCATACAGTGGAATACTATTCAGCCTTAAAAAGGAATGAAATCCCTTCACATGCTACAACATAGATGATACCAAAGGACATTATGTTAAGTGAAATAAGCCAGTCACAAAAAGACAAATACTGTATGATTCCACTCACATGAGGTATCTAAAGGATTTAAACTCCAAGAAACAAAAAGTAGAACGGTGGTTGCCAGGGGCTGGGGAGAAGGTGAATTGGGGAGCTCTTGTTTAATAGGTATAGAGTTTCAGCTTTGTAAGATGAAAAAGTTCTGGATATCTGTTTCTCAACGATGTGAATGTACTTAACGCTACTGAAGTGTATACTTAGAAATGATTAAGATTAAAAAAAAGATCCTACTACGTGGGCAGGTCACAGGATTGTTAAGAAGAACCATCTGACTCCATCCTGAAGAAATTCCGACTTAGTAGGGTTTAAGGTAGAGGTTTAACAGCTCACCATTTGTAATCCCAGGGTCTGGAAAAGTGGCACACAGTGGGTGCTTCAGATATTTGTTAAATAGGTACAAAATTATGAACACATCCTTAGAAAAATAGGTTTTTAAATTATTTCAATGAAATGTTAAATTTCAAAATGAAAATTTTGACTTAAAACTACATTACTGCTTTTGAAACTTCCTGTGAATCGGCAGTCATTTGAAGATTAAAAGTTCAAAACAACAAAAACAACAACAAACAAAAAGTTTAGTTCCATTACCCTGCTCCGTCTCTTGTTTCTCAGAGGCCTGCCTGGAAGACAGGAAGAGGACTTGGGAAAGGGGAAGCAGGGTGGAAAGTAATCCTTAAAAACTGGCCCCTTGGGGACTTCGCTGGTGGCGCTGTGGTTAAGAATCCACCTGCCAATGCAGGGGACATGGGTTCGATCCCTTGTCAGCAAAGATCCCACATGCCACAGAGCAACTAAGCCCTTGTGCCACAACTACTGAGCCTGCAGACCACAACTACTGAGCCCGCATGCCACAACTACTGAGCCCATGCACCACAACTACTGAAGCCTGTGCGCCTAGAGCCCATGCTCTGCAATGAGAAGCCACCTCAATGTGAAGCACGCACTCTGCAATGAAGAGTAGCCCCCGCTCACCACAACTAGAGAAAGCCCATGCGCAGCAACGAAGACCCAAAGCAGCCAAAAAAACCCAAAAAAAACTGGTCCCTTAAAACTGGTGATATTTGATTCAGGTTTATGGACTATCCAATTGTATTATAACAGTGTTCATTTCCTCATTTGGATATTCATACTGTGGTTAATTAAGAGAATGTTTTGTTTTTAGGAAATATATCCTGAAGTATTTAGGAGAAGAGGGGCATCATGTCTGCAACTT